CCCAGCCACTCGCACTGACTGAGGCTCGTTGTGGTCTTCTTGGTGGACCTCAACAGAGAAGACGTTTGCGGTCTGCGGCACGTAGCTCCCGTTCGGAAAGGGCTGCAGCGTGGTCACCGAGATGTAGTGGACGCCCTTGTCCGTGTCAAGGGGCAGCCCTTCCAGGGAGCTGCTCTCCGCGTTCCAGTGTAACCAAGAAGGCAAGGAGTCCTTCCCAGCTTCGGAGAGCTACCAAATAAGAGAGAGAAGAAGGTGATTTTAGAAGCACAGCATTAGGACAGGTTCTAGCAGCAATAACGCTTAATTTAAAGGTTAAAGAAAAAAATCTGAAGCGTAACAACTGGGGAAGGAGCATCCTGGCCAGAGCGCGACAGCCTGTGTCTCCTTCTCCGCATAGTGACAAGGACGAGCTCCGTAGGGTAGACTGGTCCCAAAGGGCTCAAGGAGCCATGGAAAGTCATCAAGTCCTGCAAAGGTCCCTTGCCTGCAGGCACCAGGTCTCTAGTACTTGCTGTGCAACTACTAAGCACAAGCGGTTCATTTTCTCTGAGGGCAGAAGGGGAGTTCAAGTCATGGGGACAGCTATGAAGCTGAGGGTGAAGTTATGTGATACAGCAGAGCTGATCCAACAGCTGCCCTCCTCCTGCTCCCTCTTCTTCCTCTCCCATCCCTGCCGTCTTGCTCCGTTCCTCACCTGATCGCACCCTGCAAGCCCATGGCTCCAGCAGCAGAGCAGAACGTACGTTTTCTCTGTAAACTTCCTGCTTCGTCCTGCTGCCCCCAGCAGCCAGGCTGAGCCGGAGGGGCCAGAAGCTGGCAAACTATGGCTCGGAGTCCCCTGCCTGGTTGGAGCACACCAGCTCCTCAACAAGCAGCAGCAAATCTCGAGAGCTAAGCAGCCGCTTAAAACACAGCATCCTCCTGCACTGCCAGAGGAACAGCAAGCTGGGGACAAAGGAGGGCAGCAAACCTGACATCTGGTCAGCACAGCACTGCGATGGCCAGCGCGGGCAGGCAGGGACGCAGCGCACGGGCTGGAGCACTGCTGGGCATCACACAGCACGGCGCGCCAGCCCGGCTTTATACTCAGAGTTAGCTTAAAATGAAGGATTTCACTTTCATATAATAACTTGCTTCTGCAGACTAGAAACAACGGGCGGCTTTGGCCCAGACCGCAGGCACCTCAGGACTCCAATGCACTATTTACTACCTCTTTTAGGTCAACAGCAAGGCTTTTTTTTTAACATGACTTGTGGCACAGATTAGTGAAGCATGGTCCGAGAGCACAAGCCTCCCCTTCAAACTGTGTGGTCCAACAGCAGGGGCAACGTATGCAAGGATGGCATTTCCATACGCTCCAGAGGAGGGAGCTGGCGGTAACCTCACCGGCTGCCTCCGCTTCCCAACATACTCATTTGTGCCTTTCCGAGCCCACCCTCCTCTTCCAACCTCGGGTCCCCTTCCCAGCCAGCCCAGGTCTGGACCCTTCGGATCCCCTGGCCATTTTGCTCTTGCAGAGAAGACGCTCATTCTCTCCAAAACGTCACCAGCATGGCTGACACCCCGCCAAGGCGCTCCCCACCCCGAGCAGGGGAAAACCACACATGTCGGAGCCCTGGGCACCCCTGCCTCCCACCCCGGGCCATAGCCGAGGGTGGACACGAACCCCGCAAGCCTCCTGTTCCCCACAGCTGACGTCTGTCCATCCGCGCTACAGCCGCTCGCCGATCACGAAGCACAGTGGAGCCGCTTAGGCTGCACGGTGGAAGGGGTGACACTGCCAGCTCAGCGGGCTGTGACATTTCCTGGGGCTGTAGGTACCCCATGGCAAGTAACCTGAGCTTCGCCACCCCCCCCAGGCTTGGAGGCATTCGGAAAGGGCCCCGGCAGGGCTTTCCAGAGCTCACCGCGAGGTATCTCCCCCCACACCCAGAGGAAACAGGACGTTTTGGGGCCCACGGAGACAGATTTAGCAGCCCGGTCAATGCTCTGGGCTTGCTGCAATGCAATGCAGAGCCGCGCTCTCCTCCTGAAAGGGTGCTTTGGTTACTCTGCAATTCTGTAAAGCTCATACATATTTCATAATTTATCCAAACACAAAGCTGGGCGAGGAGCTTCGCGAGGAAACCTGCCTGGCAGGAGCGTCCCCGCATCCGGCAGCGGGCGCAGAGATGGGGCTGGACTCGCCAGACCTGCCTCACCGCAGGGAAAGCCCCTGGGATGGACAGACGAGGAGCGATGCCCCGTGCTGCAGGGCTGGGCAGACTGCGAGTCCTGGGTACCTCTCCCACCCCCCCGGCTGCGGGCAGGATTAGGCAGCCCGCTGAAAGGCAGGGCAGCAGGGCTCACGGACTCCCCGCCCCCCCGCGGGTTTTGGCACACTGAGGGGTCTGGACGCGCAGCTCTGCAAGGGTAACGTAGGATCCGCAAGTCTTTTGGCGAGAGCCGCAGAGGGTTTCGGCCATGACCGTAGGGGCAACACCCTCATTCCTCTCCTCTGCAAAGGATCAGCCCCGCTTTTGGCCAGCCTGGACAAGCTGGAGAGCACATCATGAGACACAGGCTGGGTACAGTTTATAGAGCAGAGTTTAAAGCTGTTAGCACAGCTTTTAGTTAACTCCTCAGCAGCAACGTCCGAGAGCAGGAAATTAAGATTCCTGCTTACGCCAGACAGAGGAGGACCGTACACCCCCATGTATCCCACCCAAACCGAGGCGCTGAGGCGTGAACATCGTTCCACTCAGCTTTGCTCTTTACCCATGGGTCTGGCAGAAAACAGGGGGGTCTGGCAGCGCTACTGCTGCATGCACCCGCTCCCCCACCACAGCAAGAACAGGAGCTGCTTTTAGCCCAAAGGAAAACCAGCCCTTCACCTGAGATGGGCACGCAGGAACAAAGGACCAAATTGTCCTTCCTTGGCAGCTCTTCTGCCAAGAGAGGACAAAGGCAGGGTCTGATCCTGCCCAGCCAGAACCAGGGCTGACCTGCACTTGTGTTCCTTTAAAAAAAAGTGTAATTTCATCGCACCCTCTAAAAACTGAGATGCCAGGACAGCACCCAGTGCAATCCAGCATTTACATTAGCAGGAGCTGGATGGCGCTACTCTTCATCCCCTCGTGCCAAAATTAGCGGCCAACCTGCCCACTGGGGAGGAGGAAGGGCAGGGCTGGGCACACGTTAGGAACAGAAACACAAGGAGCCAGGACAAAGCCGCAGCGTTATTGAGGCTTACACAATCAAGAAGAATAAAAACTTTAATAGTGAGTGGTTAAATGCACACTGAACGTGTAATTTCAGGCTACATTTGGAACAGATCTTCCCCTTCCATGCACTCGGCAAAAGCCCTTAATTACAGGATCACACACTCCACACAGCTTTCCTGCGAGCTGGGGTTTTCTGCTGCTCCCTCCTCCCCAGGCACGGCGCATGACTTGAGGAAGAGACATACAACGAGCATTACCTTTAACCTCATGTCACAAGGTGATTCTCTTTTCAATCACGTGTGCTCCTGTGTTTGATAGCCAAACTCACTTAGGAAAGGGGGCCAACCCCATGTGCAAAAAGGACAGTGAGGGAGGCACAGGCCAGTCTGAATATTTCTGCTTGGAAAACCATTTTTAACCAACAGTTTACATGTGAGCTCACGTTCTTAAGAGCCCACGCTAGAAAATGAAACTGCAGCTAGACAGATTCACACTGAAAACTAGGCTCTCCTGAAAAACAAAAACAGGCCAGGCAATCACCTACCGGGACAACTTGTTCTAGCAGAGATGCGACGGCTGCAAAACATTTATAAACCCACTTAAACTTGATTTAAAAAGAGCTGAGCTAGTTCAGCTGTATTCAACCTGCGAGGAGATGTGGACTGTTTCTAAAGGTTCTGCAAGAGGTGATTCAGAAAATCAAATTTATGTGTATTATGCCTATGAAACCCATGAAGATGCCTGTGCCTCCCCTGGGAAATCTTTAGGAAGGCAACAAGTCTTCGATGCCGCAGCTCTGCTATAAGCACGGCTACTGCCCTGGCAGCAAAATCCATCCATGTTCGCATGTCAAAGGAAAAGCCCAGCAAGATTAGAGTAGAAAATCAAAGCGGTTATCAGGCGGAATAAAAATACTTGTTCCTAAATGAACGCTAACCAGCAGAGCCCTCGGCGTGGGTCTGTCCTGTGGGTTGCTGCTGTGTTCGTGGAAGCATGAAACCGGGAGCGGAGAGCCCTGGACTCTGTTCTTGCAATGTTTCCTTCAAATACTGTTTCAAAGGATATTTGTTCAGGCTATACATAGTTAATGATTTGGGATCTCTAGTTTTCATGTTAAAAGTTTTCCAGTTTTCTATGTATGCAATAATTATCAGCCTTAAGCCCTGCCATTTCCCTCAAGGGGTCTGGTTTCAAAATAACTCTTCCGTTGCTCAAGAAAAAAAAGGCTGCCTTTGTTTTCCCATTATTTGAGATAATTGTAAATGAATGCTTGTTGGGTAAAGATTACACAAGCCTGGCAGTGCATTGAAGACCATTAAAAAATTAGCCATGTTCGCGATTTTAAATACACACAGTGGTCTGGCTGGCTTTGAAGACCTTGTTCACAAAGTCCTTTCAGATATACATGGCCTGTTATTTTTAGGCCAGCCAAGACCAGTCAGCTCATGAGAGAAGATAGCTCGGTTTGATTTGTTTTTTTAAACTTAGATCTTAAAGCCCTGTAGCCAACAAGACAAAGATAAGCAAAGGAACAGTGAGCAAAACTGCTGCCTCTGAGGGAATTCAGGCAAAACCCACATTCTTGCCTACAAGAGTGCCCTCTAATCCTCCAAGAATTTAGTCTTCCTCCTCCCGATGAATCCCCCATAAAGAAGACAGGTACTGTAGGATCCTGCCACAGGTCTCCCTTTGGCACACCACTATGAAATCCTCCCGGCCCTGGAGGTATCCGATGGGATCTCCCCAGCCTATGCTGCCAGACCCTCCCATGGGCAGCAGCAGCACCCAGGGACTCGGCTCCTTCCTGCGCCCTTTCAAATCAGTCCTAAAAAATTCCTGACTGCTTTTGGGCAGGGGTGAGCATGGATACTCCTGCAGCTCTGCCAGATCTCCCACCACCCCCTCCTCCCCGTGTCCAGCTGTTCCTGAGACACAGACCCCATACCAGGGATTTCATTTGGATTATAATTACTGATGACAGTTTACTGTACGACAGACTCCCCTTCGGGGTTGCTCCTTCGGCAT